ATGGTGGTTTAGTATTTTGGGCTCATGGCGACTGTTGCACACCCCTTTGTTTCCCAGATAGCTTTACATATGAATTTTAATTAATTTTTGAATGTTCCAATGTGTCCGTATACTGTGCAGTCGATAATACATGAATGGGTTAATAACTTTAAAACTAGACAAGACAGGCACATCTAATAAAGTGTGCTTTGATCAGTGGACACCAGGGAACAATGCACACCCCTTGGGTTTTCAGAATAACTTTCTCTGTAACAGTTATTAATTAATACATTGTATGCATATTATATGCCATTGCTCCATTTCATACATATTAACAGAGAGAGCCCCTCACTATTCGCGCGCCAATGCCGTACCGATTATTCAGGTACGCCAGCATTGTCTTCGGAGAAATTGTAGTGGGAGGGGCGGTGCTCATATAGGGCTGGCTTATGCAGAAACCTCGACTTAACCAAGAACAAAAACTGCTTGGAGCAGTTTTGAGACTTAGCATAAATTGCCATAGCAACATGTCTCGACTAAAACCTACCCACCTTTCGTAGTACGGGTTAATCGCGAAGTTACACAACACGTCATCAAGTTACTCACAAAGTTACCCCGATAAGCCAGTTACCCCGCTTCGTAGTACAGGCCCCAGTTCTGATTGTATCTCATCTATGGCAAACATTTTCGTCTCGTTTTTATTCATTGACGAAAGTGTCAATACACTTCGTCATAGTCTTAGGCCTCGCGAAATCATTTTTATTTAGTTATCGTCTCATTTTAGTCTGAAAATAAAGGTCGTTGACGATGACAAAAATGTTTCGTTAACAAAATTAACACTGATTGTCATGCTGAGCGGGGACGGAACGAAGACAAGGCACAGACGACAGGGTATCAGGGAATACTGGGTTTAATTACAGGTAAGGTAGGCAAAACGGACTAATAACCGGACTGGGGAAACAAACTGAAATGCATACTAATTACAGAGGACTAATGACAACAACCAGAAACAGCTGATCACACGGGGATTCCACACAAGGTTAACGAGGGGGCGAGACACATGGAAGGAGCGGAATGATCGGGGCAGAATACATTGTTTTTTTTTTTTTACTTTACACATTGTTTGGATAAATTGGACAAATTACTGTTTTGATAAATGTTCTTAGATGTGTTTAGTACAGTATATGCTCTTCTTGTTTTATCCTGTTCATTTTCTGTTTAAATGCTAAAAAAAAACATATTTAGGTGTAATTTTTTGGGGCCGGGAACCAATTAATTGGTCTTCCATTATTTCTTATGGGGAAAATTCGATTTTCGAACTTTTTAGGATTCGATCCAGAATTCTGAACGGATTAAGTTTGAGTTCTGAGGTACCACTGCACTTTGTCACATGGGTGATATGCGTGAAATTTTTTTCCTTCAATGAATTCGATGGTCATTTAAAAGCAGTGTGTTGTGTTAATGGTGGTTGTCCTTATAGTATTATGCTAAATTTGTTTGGGGATCAGAAACTATTAAGTGTTATAAACAAGAAAAAGCAGAGGGAATCAAGATCAGAATACTTAGTCAAGACACTTGTGCATACCTTGAAACAACTGTATATCTGTCATTGGATGCTCTCATTAATGTAAACATTTTTAATGCTCTGTTTACAGAATTAAACTGTTTTACAAATTTTTTTTTAAAAATCACAATCTTTTATTGTGATTCATCATTTCATCCATAAAAGGGTTGTTTAAAAATAATTAAAAAATAAAACAAATTTGTACCAAGTAAATCTTGCCGAATCCAGAATCGAAAGAGAAATGTGACACTCAGAATGTAGATGAACACAAACTCGCAGATCTTTACAGGTCGTCCTGTGGTCAGGATTAGTTGCAGTTAATTGCAGTTTTTAATACAACAAAGATTATTAATGAAATAAACAGCTTCCTGTTCCTCTAAAGTTCCTCTAAATATGTCTCTGAAGACACACAGAACAAATTAAATATCAAAACCACTCCATCACTGGAAGTGTCCTTTTTACACTTTACACAGAATGTATTATTATCTTGTATTTTGTATTGATTATATCAAAATATATGCCTTTATTAATAAGGTGTAATTCAGGGATGACTTGATACTAGAAGCTTTATTGCATTATTGTTTACTGCACCCCCCTAAAAAAATCAAGTTTATAAACATTCTACAAACATTTTACAGGTTTTAAAACATTTTACAATTCACTACTGTTAAAAGGTTTCCTTACCTTTGTCATTTTCTAGAATCACACTTAGATACAGACAGCTTAACATTAGGTGAAGTATAAAGTATATCCCCAAAAGGACTTTCTGAGCAAAATCTGAAAACAAATAAAACATGTAAAACAACAGATTAAATAAACAGATCATAAAACAGGCCTGCATTAAATATCTTGTCTGTATTTATGTTTTGCTATTATACACTATATTGCCAAAAGTATTGGGAGCAACTGCTGTTTTAATACTGCACTGCTAAACATACTCTGTAATACTGCCCTGCAAAAAATGTTGGTGCGGAAAGACACAGCAGCCACTCAGGTCTTTGAAAATGTGACCATTCCTTGTATTGTCCATCCTAATTGTCATCAAAAATATGATCAAGGAATATTGATGCATGTTCTAGCTAGAGAGGAAGCCAGTGCCGGAACAACTGTACACTGGGCCCTGGTGAGAAAATGGACCCCATGCCCCCCCCAACCACCACCCCTTTCGAAATTCACAACTAGGGCCTGCTTACACCATTTGCAGCTTATGCAGATGATGTCATTTAAATAGCCTCCAAATATCATACCCATCATTCAGTGCAGTAGTTCGTGTCATGCCCCGATCGTCCGCTCCCCTTGTGTGCCACGCCCCCTCATTAACCGCATGTGGATTCCCCGTGTTTACCAGCTGTTTCTGATTGTTGTCATTAGTCCATTGTATTTAGTCCGCGTTTCCGTTTGTTTCCCCAGTCCGGTCATTGATGTTATGTTGCATTGTAGCGTGCCTCGTCTACGATTAAACCCCGTTTTCCCTATCCCTGGATTCCTGCCTGTTTGTCTGTGCTCCGGGCGCGTACGCGCCGTGACAGTTCGCAAATTCCACAAACAGGTGCAGGTGGGATTCAAGGGGCTGCAAATTTGAATAGGGTTGAAGGTTACATCCACTGCACTTGCAAGGCCAGGGATGCCTGCAATGGCATGAAAACCAATTTTTCATGCAAGGCATCCCCTCCTGCTGGACATTGTATATAGTTGTGCGCACAAGAAAGGTGATCAATGCATGCACAGGTACAGAACATAGCAGCCTTGGTGAGGCCATGTACATCGGTAAGTTTGCAGGAATCCACCACTGGCATAAAAGCAGCGCTGCATGGTGCACTGAGGGCAAAATTCAGATGTGGTCCTCTTTTCAATTTATCCTACACCAGACCAAGGGGGCTCATTATTTCACCCCAGGCCAGCCTGTATTTCTCTATGAACTGTTCACTACTGAGAGGGTTCAAGGGGTTCATGACCACCTACAAAAGCAACTTGGCTTCCTGGATGGTGCTGTCTCAAACACTTTCTTTTGTTGACTTGCACAGTTCTCTGCCATAGCTTGTCATGATGGGTGATTCACTTTCCCAGTTCAAAAGATATGACTGACACAGAGCAAGTTTGATCATTTTATGTAGCTTACCAGAGTTGTTCACAATTTATGAACTGTATTTTGAATTGAGTACACCCTGTAAGATGTTGAATTGAAATCACAGAAGAATTACGTTCATTTCAATTCAATGCAATCATTTTACATATGAATGTCATTTCATCTAGCAAAACATAAGTAATAACATAACAGATTTACTTCCAACACTTATGGTAGCTTATATTGACCTTATACTGTATGTGTGAGTGAACTTTATATTTGTATGTTTATTAGATTAAAATTGTGTAATTGTTTTAGCCTGTTCTAACAATATGCATTTGGTTTATGTCAGCCTTCTAAGTCCTTTTCCATGGGTATATATTTATTGTTTTTGCATTTTCAACTGTTTATGTGTGTTAATATTTATGAGGAGTCTGCATACAGTAGTGGGTTGTCAGATGGATATGGTTGTGATAGGGTAACTTTTATGATTGTATGAAGTGCTCTTTCACTATGGTACACAGTTAAATTATTTATTCTATAGGCAACACTTCAAATGTGGCTGTCACACCCCGATCGTGCCGATCCTCCTGTGCCACGCCCCATCATTAACCTCATGTGGATTCCCAGTGTTTAACAGCTGTTTCGAGTTGTCCTTATTAGTTCAGTGTATTTAAGTCCACATCAGAGTTTATTTCCCTAATTCTGTCATTGTAGTGTCGTGCAGTGTTTGGATGTTATGCTCCTTCGTTCACCTATTAAACCCTTTTATTTCACCCCACTCCTGATCTCCTTCGCCTGTTTCCCTGGTCCGTGTGCTGCGAGTCATGACAGTGGCGTTCATTATGAATAACAGTAACATCCACAGACTTTTCAAGCAGATGCTCGAAACAATGTTGACATCTTATATATCATCAGCATTATTAAGTTGTCCAAAAAAGTGCATCAATGTGTCTATTTTGGCCGATCTCAGTGACTCTGTGACCAGACAGCAGTCAAAAGTTCAAATAAAGAACGAAATAGAAAATAACAAGTGGGTCGGAGCACTCATAAATCTACGAATGAAATAACCTACTTTAGTGTAGGATCTCTCTCTCTCACACACACACACACAATGTCCTCCATAATTATTGGCACCCCTTGTAAAGATGTATAAAAAGGGTTACAAAAAATCCACCTTCCAGTGAAGTATATTCATATCACACTGAAGAAAAGGAGAAAAATCCAACTTGTCATTAAAATAAATTTATTGAAATCAATCCTTCACAAATCAAGAAATAATTATTTTCAACAAAAACACATGGCACCCCTGCTTTTAATACTTTGCACAACCTCCATTTTCCAGTATAATAGCACTGAGTCTTCACCTATGATATTTTATAAGGTTTGAGAATACAGTTAAGTAGCTAATAATTTTGGCTTTGTCATTTCTCAGTTTTCTTGTTAAAATTCAGCACATCGATGCAATATCTTAATCAAACTTTGTGGAGAGTTTGTCTTTGTTCTTTTGAGAGCAATACAAGTATTAACCATTTTTGTTATGTTCATTTCCATGGAAATATTAAGGGTTTTGTGTGATTTCATTAGGGGGGCATTTTAAATTATGAATTATTTAATGTGGATCCAGATTGCGATGGCATGTTTGATATAAAATTGATGGAGAAATTCTCATAAATCCGAATCTGATCATGGATTATCACGTAGTTGCATGTATCTAAAGTTAAATATTTTTACCGAAATTAGGTATAAAGTTGCTTCACTATATGGTCGTAAATCCATCGGACTGATATAAAGACCCCTAGACCAGGACTCCGGTCGGATGTTCCAGATCATTGGTCCAAGTGTCAAATCCCTAAAGATCAATATTCATGGACTTTAGACTTTAAAATCACACACCTCGGATTCCTCCGGGGTTGAAGCGGAACCAAAGACTGATGATACCTGCGTATAAACCAGCTGCCGAAAAGAAAGGCCGGAGAAGGAAGAAACCACAAACTAGAGCTGCTCCAGACCTCGCCGTCCAAGCTCTCTCTGTCATCTCATTACCTCCACAACAAGCTTCCAAAGACTCCATCCGCAGCCACGTAAACTCCCTTTCATTCATTTGCTAATCTAACCTGTTATGTTAGTCTATTTTATAATTTTGGGTCTTTAGGATTAAGGGCTTACTCTGCAGAACAGTATTAATCTTTGAGGGTACCCATTTAAATTGAGTTACTGCCTTCCCATATTCCATCCTGCTCATTGATTTTATTGTCTTGTCCTGTTATTTTGTCTTTCATGTTAAGTGTGATGTCTGTCACGTGTTAGTTGTAGTGTTAGGAATAAATGCATGCCTTTTATACATTTTGAATCACCGGCTGAATGACTGGCTCATACAGTAATTGTCACTTCACTGGTGCGAAATTACTACTAAGCTTCTAAGGTTCCAAGCTCATCCTAAAGTATTATGAGACTCACTCTATGGCCGTGAACAGAGTTTTGCTATAGAGTTGCTACATTGCTGGTGAGAGTTATGTTCGGCGGGGCAAATTTTCTAACCCAGGTTAAGTACACTGAAAAAAGTGTCACAAGGGTGTAGCTGGTTTGACCTAAAACTTAAAACTGCACGTGTGCTTAGGTCGCACATGCGCAAGTCCTGTGTATGTCTCCGAAAAGAACCTCCAACAAGCCGCCATTACTGCTGTCCTCAGGTAAGAATGAAAAATGAAACCTGTAAATGTAAATATTTGTCCTTATACTGTATCTTAGTCGAGAACATGATTGCATGTTAACGTTTTAAAGTTAGTATTGGGTAGAACATAGTTATGTAAAACATGTAGAACATCTAGTCTAGCTAGCAAGTAAGTTAATTTTACATAGATTGGTCGTCATTAGCCGTTAATTGGGAAATGCTGCATGTGAATATTAATATTATTAATATATAAATATTATTTTGTGTTAGTTAGCCATATTAAGCTATTTTTTTCATGCTAGTTCCTTTTGAATTAATGGCAAGAACCGCAGCAAGGGTACGAGTTAGCTGTTCAGAAAACAGTTCTGTGTCGCGTGTAGAGAAACAGGGAAAAGGATTTCTCAACATGTACACGAGTGTTTTAAAAACATTGCTTTTTCTCGACCTGTTGGTCTTTCATCCAAATGCAAAATGAGTTTCAGTTCATGAAAAACGGAGTTTTTGCCCAGGGTGAACATTGTCAGAAGCTGGTTTAACATGCTGTGGACAGCCATTTTTTTGCATTTTATGTGGGCAAAAATGTTTTAAATTAGTGCTTGTGTGGGCGGGATAATATTGTAATTAGGTGATTGTTTTTCGCGGAGGGCAGTAAGGTGTCATAATTACCCACCACAAAAACAACAAATCTTCCACATAAGTAGCTGTTAGCAGTGCCTGCAACTTCACTCGTTTATGGCTAATATCCAACTTTCTTTTTTCCCCTCCCATTCAGCCGCCCTAAAATGGCTACGTCTTCACCCCAATCCACAAATTCCTAATCTATTTCATACTGGCCTATCTCCAGCCTCACTGTTCCTGCCGTGACACCCCCTCCAAATTTTAATAGCAGGTGACACGGGGAAGGGGCTTTACACACCCTCACTTTCTTCTACCGCTCTACTCAGACAGACGTGAACACAGAGAGTGATTAGGAAACGGTCAGCAGTGTCACAATATTGTTTTAAATTGTAATGTTACTATTGTTCCAAGGCCAGGGTGAAAACCACACTGCTCCTCCTGAATCCGAGGTTCGACAATCCGGCGGACCCTCCTCTCCGGAACCCCCGAATAGACCTTACCAGGGAGGCTGAGGAGTGTGATCCCCCTATAGTTGGAGCACACCCTCTGGTCCCCCTTCTTAAAGAGGGGGACAACCATCCCGGTCTGCCAGTCCAGAAGCACTGCCCCCGATGTCTACGCGATGCTGCAGATGTGTGTTAACCAAGACAGCCTCACAGCATCCAGAGCCTTAAGGAACTCTGGGCGGATCTCATCCACCCCCAGGGCTCGGCCACCGAGGAGCTTTTTAACCACCTCAGCGACCTCCGCCCCCGAGATAGGGGAGTCCATACCCAAGTCCCCATACTCTGCTTCCACATCGGAAGGCGTGTCGGTGGGATTGAGGAGGTCTTCGAAGTATTCCTTCCACCGACCCACAACGTCCCGAGCTGAGGTCAGCAGCACCCCATCCCCAACATAAACAGTGTTGATGTTGCACCGCTTTCCCACCCGGAGCCCCCGGATGGTGGACCAGAATCGCCTTGAAGCCATCCAGAAGTCATTTTCCATGGCCTCGGGACCCACGTGCCTTGTTCGGGCTATGCCCGACCAGGCCCCATGGGTATAGGCCTGGCCACCAGGCACTCGCCATCGAGCCCCACCCCCAGGCCTGGCTCCAAGGGGGGGCCCGGTGACCTGCGTCCGGGCAAGGGAAAACGTGTTTCCAATATTTTTCTCGTCATAAGGGGTCTTTTGAGCCGCACTTCGTCTGGTTCCTCACCCAGGACCTGTTTGCCTTGGGTGACCCTATCAGGGGCATAAAGCCCCAGGCAACTTAGCTCCTGGGATCACTGGAACATGCAAACCCCTCCACCACGATAAGGTGTCGGCTCCAGGAGTGGCATTGCACTCTGTAACACTGGCAAATTTTCTGTGTGGGGGATTGCTGGCTGGGATCCTGAGGAGTTTTGCCATGTGGTGGGTGTGGCAACACGCTGCTTCAACGCATGCTCCCCAACCTGACCTGACCTGAATGTGATTTGTAATCATAATTTGTAAACATTACAGTCTTATGGAATACAGCTTTAAGTCTCAAATGTTTTGTTTCACGATCTGATAAGCCCATGAGCATCTTGATCAGTACTGATGGAAAGCCCCTGAGTGACAGTTATTGTTATGATGGATGGACACTAAATGATGATGGACAATGGAGAGACAGACATTTCTTTGGCCATTGCTGTTTTGTTGCCTCTGTATCATGTCTACAACATTGCATATCCTTGTCAGCTAAAAAAAACAATTTAATATTTTGAGGCATTTATTTTGAAGCTTGACAACAACATTTGTAATACCAGCTGTGCACAGAGTTGCCAATGCCATGAATATTTCTTAGAAAGCACGGTGTATGGTATTAGGACTTTGGTCGAGTTCTAAATAAATGAAATAGAAATAAACTTCCATCTGCATTTTTTTCTCTGCTGTACACAATATTGCTTCATTTTCAATACATGTTTTCAATACATGTTTTCAATACATGTTTTCAATACATGTTTTCTTATCCTAAAACACATTACTAATGATACATAAAACAAAAATGGATAATGGATGCACAGAATGATTCGCAATAAAAACGAAGTAAACGTTGATCTCAAGAGCACGTCTTACCGATAAGCAAGTAGAAAGAACTGGGATGCTGGGAGTACACACGCTACACTGCTGCGCGGGGGGAGTAGCGGCCAGGATTTGTACTACCCGTAATTGGCGCGCAGAACAAACTTTGATGTTGCAGACAAGAAAAGGGAGCCTACCAAACGCAATTTGGACTTACAGTCCTCTTCGCTCGTATGTCTGAAAGTTCGTAAGATGAAGGTTCGTAAGTAGAGGAGCGTCTGTATTGCCTTTATATCATACTGTCATGCCCCAGCTCGTCCAATCCTCCGGTGTGCCACGCCCCCTCATTTACCTCGCTAGAATCCCCGTGTAACCAGCTGTTTCAAGTCATGTTGATTGTTGCTCTGTAATTAAGTCTGAATTAAAGTATGTTTCCCCAATCTGGTCATTAACGTCTTGACGTCGTTCACCTGATTTCGCCAGCTCTTGTGCTGCTTCTCCGCGCCGAATGCGTTACAGAATGATAGGACTCAGGAAACATACTCTTACACGGACTTAAATACACAAAACTAATTAACACAACTAGAAACAGCTGCTGACATGGGGATTTCACACGAGGTAGCGAGGGGGGTGTGGCACACAGGAGGATCAGCACGAGCCGGGCATGACATATACAGTGGTACCTCAGAACTCGAACTTAATCCGTTCAGAACTACGGTTCGAGTTCTGATCCAATTTTCCCCGATAAGAAGTAATGGAAAACCAATTAATTGGTTCCCGGCCCCAAAAAATTACACCGAAATATGTTTTTTTAGCATTTAAACACAAAATGAACCAGGTAAAACAAGAAGAGCATATACTGTACTAAACACATCTAAGCACATTTATCAAAACAGTAATTTTTAAAGTAAGAAAATAAATGTATCCAAACAATGTGTCCTGCCCCGATCATCCGCTCCTTCCGTGTGCCACGCCCCCTCATTAACCGCGTGTGGAATCCCCGTGTGATCAGCAGTTTCTGGTTGTTGTCATTAGTCCTCTGTATTTAGTCCGCGTTTCAGTTTGTTTCCCCAGTCCGGTCATTGTATTGTCCATCTGCGTTTTGCCTGCCTTAGCTGTAATTAAACCCCGTATTCCCCGATACCCTGACGTCTGCTCCATTGTCTCTGTTCCGTCCCCGCTGGGCACGACAATATTATTATAATTAAATGTATTAATGGTTTATTATTAATATTAAAATAATCAATAAGAAATCTTTATTTTTTTATGTATTTTATTAATAATAATAGTCACTGTCTATCATTGTCTAAATGTATTTTTACTGTCTAAATATATGTATTCAGCTAGTGTAAACATGCATGATGCTATCACAGCGAATGCGAGGCTGAGACTGAAGCATTACCTTTTGTTTACGCTGAGAGACATGTCGCGTGACTCATTTCCCCGCACGTACAAGTTATCTTAAGTCGGCGTTCACGGTTTGACTTCTGAGAATCAGTTTTTTTTTCGAACTGGTTGGTTTGACTTTTAAGAAATTCGAGTTATAATGAGTTCGAGAACTGAGGTACCACTGTACTTACTTATGCATGTAGTTTTGAGTACCCTTCAAATGATATTGAATAATGACTTACAGTACGAAGATTTCAAGTTATGAATGGCCGTTCGGAACGTAACTAATTTGTAAGTAGAGGAGCGTCTGTACCAGGAGAACATTTATTATGATAAGCATTAATAATCTATCAACCGAGTCTTAGATAGGTTCTTTTTCAAGGGCGTGCAGTGTTTATGCACAATGCAGGTCAATTTGTATACTTTTGAGGGAATATTGAAAATACTTACATTTTGCTCAAAAATAATTATAAAATGTATTTTTGAATAAGCATCATTGTAAGTATCATTTTAAACTACACATAAAATTGAACTTTGAGAATGGATTTTAATTGTACTCTGGTGACTCATGAAAGTTAGTGACAAACAGGGCTGAATATGGTTTAGGACAAAATTTCATACTTACAGTAAAATCCCTCCAAGCGCTTTTCTTCACGATACAATAAATAATCCTTGATAATTATGCAGGCACAGATTCCCAAAGCAGCTACTGCAATCGGAATTGAATATTCTGAAAAGAGAAAGATCACATTAGTCTATGGTGTATAATTATCCATACTAGTGTCACATCCTCTCACTATTATGAATATAAAATGTTACATCATAGATAGATAGATAGATAGATAGATAGATAGATAGATAGATAGATAGATAGACTTTATTGCCATTTGCACAGGTACAGGACATTGGAATATTTGTGCATAGCTCACAGAGTTAGCTTTCACGATAGAATAGAAAAGAAGTGGAAAAAGAGCAGAAAAATTAATAATACTTCCACACTGCAAAAAAACTTTATAAAGGTACAATTCACACATTCCCAGTCACGAACAAAATGTGTATTCTGTATTCCTTTCTTACTGCCTGTGCGGTAGCTTAACAATTAGAGCACGTTACTAAAAAGGACAGCGATGTCTGGCTCCATGCATTTGGCTCTTGGCAAGATCATCATTATAAATCCAACAAAGCACTTACCAGCTAGAAAAAAACACTGTCTGCATCAAGAGATTAAGAATAAGATTCCAAGGGGAAATCCTTAGGCATAGAACAGTAAATGAGACGATCACAGATGGACATACATGTAGTGCAAAACAGACAAAGTGCAAAGACAGTACTTAGTGAAAACAAGTAAACGTGGTGCGAACAAATTGAAAAGGACACAGTACTAAAATAAAATATCCTGAAAACCAGGATACTGGAAATAAGAAGAAAGAATATTTAAAAAATGAGTAAATATTATTATTATATATTAATATACTGATGAGCCAAAAGATTATGACTACCCTCATGCAACACGTATAATGATGTGTATAATGTGGTGAAAAAGGCACATGTCAAGGTCTGGGATATATTAGACAATATTTGATACTCACAGTCGACATGCTGAATACAGAAGAAATGGGCAGAGATAAAGATCACAGTGACTTTGACAAGGACCAAATCATTATGGCCAGACGACTGGGTCAGAGCATCTCTGATACAGCAAGGCTTGTGTGGAAGTAAAATTGGACATTAGTAGGCCCGGGAGGGGAGGCATATTGGGTCTGTTATGTTTTAGGCCTTAGGCAAGAAGAGATTGTTTTGAATACTGTGTGACCTCGCTTTGTGATAGCTGCCTGTAGTTGGCTTCGCAGAAGCTCGGACCTTGGAGAGGCAGACAGTGGAGCAAAGGGGGGGAGAAACCACTTGCAGGAAGAGACTCGAAGCCACCCCAACTGGTGCACAAAGTTATAGCTTATTAAAGTAGTTGTAGTAGTCAATAGATAATATGTTACGCAATTGATTGTATCATGTTAATCATACTAATCATATGTTAACCATGTATTTTCAGTGATTCAGGACAATACGTCAATGTGTTAATCATTAATCAATGGAACACCCAAACATTAACAGTGATTCAGTGTCATATAATTAATATCTATATACATATCTCAAGTAGAGTCTAGAAGCCGAGGCTGTCTCTAGTAAATTGCGTATAATGGGTGGACTTTACCTTGCTACCAAGGTGAAACAATGAAACAGGAGAATTGTGTTTGTTATACGTTTCAGCTTAGTTTGTTGATGTTTCATGACCAATCAGGATTTAGTAGTCCTGGGAGCTATGGATTATCTACTGGTTGCTCTGTGTGCTGGGGGTGACTTGGTACCAAGGGCCAGAGTGTGATGGGAGTGCTTTGCTGAACTTGCTGGAATAAAAGATATTTTCTTTACTCACCAAACTAAGAGGTCCAGACTTTTATTCTTTTTATTCTAAGTACTTGATTTACAATTTTTCTACCACACTTGTGGGGAGCTGACAGCCAGCCATGGTGAGAACCTACTGAGTTTGAGGAGGGAAAAACTACCATCTGCTGACAGGGTGTTGGGTGGACAAGACTCATCGATGTGAGATGTGAATGAAGGTGATCCCATCTGGTACAAACCAACAGAAGGGTGACTGTGGCACAAATGGCAGATAATTTTAATGATGGTCATGGGAGTAATGTATCACGAGACATACGGCATCAAACCCTGCTCTGCCTGGGGAGGACATGGTCAGGATGGCCAAGGAAAACAGTTTAACTGCGCCTACTGCTCCCCGCCTTGGTTCACCCTCAACATCAGCAGGGGAAGGAGCTGGAGGAAAAGGCCGCGCCACTGGCCATGTGGCTCATGGACGACGCTGTCCTGCCTCCCGCTGCTCAGCCCTGGGGACAGACACAGCTATGCTGTACTAGTGGGGGTGCCCAAGAGCTGGTTTGGGCTGTGTGTTCAACCGGGCCCCATGAAAGATGACCTGGGGACTTTGCTGCATACGGCCAGCTGAGCCTCTTCAGGCAACAGCCAACACTGAGGACCTTCGCGACAGGTCGACGCGCACATTCCCCCCAAAGTAAGCTGGAAAGGAACCGCTCATCAGGGTTCTCTCCCCTAAGCAGCTGGTCCATGTTCAGCTGGAGCAGCCCTGCCCCCTGCAGGCAGCCCTGGGGCTGGCGATGGAGAGATTGTGTGGGCCAAGTTGGCCAGGGCACCCACCCCCCAGAACACACGTCGTCTCCGCTGTGACAGCTCAGAGCTGAGGAGGCCCGGGTGGGCAACCAAAGTGGCTGAGCTGCTATGGGCCACGTGGCTCCAGGCGAGTCACCCCCTGCACTGGGGCCCCAGAGTCTGCTGGGGGGTGTGGCCAGCCTGGCCACCTTGTCAGGGAATGCCCCATTCAGGGCCAAGCATGTGGGAAATGACGCAGGGTCCATGTAGAGGGAACTGTACGTGCCCCTAGCATACTTGGACACCACATGCAGTAGGAGGGGCCCAGCAGCACAGACAAGGGAGTTCAACCTCACTCACCCCAAGAACCGATGAGGACGCCACTCGGTGGCAGTGGTGGGCCACACCTGCGCTTGGGACGTCTGCCATGTCCCTGTCACACTGTAGGAAGTACCACCTTACTAGACACAGAGACCACCGTGACACTGGTGAAGCCTGACGTGGGGCTGTCTGGATTCAGTTACAACTGACCTCCATTCAGTTGTTGGGAGCAGGACAGTGCGTCACCCAGTGTGGCGTACAGGACACGTCTCTTGAGTGGTATATATTTTAAAGGGATAGAGGTGTATTTGATTGCCGGTCCTGCCCTTGGATGATTAACATAGGCAGATAGGTGTCAAAACAGTTGCGATACCCTTTTCTGTGCAGTTCCTGGTACCACCCACTCCCCTGTTGACGAATGGTTCTGGATGTATATTTGCATAGCATGACACAGTACTGTTTTTGACTTAATAGATTTTTTTTTTAATCCACCGCGATTGTGATGAATAAGGCAAGAGAACAAAAACCACAGAAATGGCTTTTGAGTACTAGCCAGTGATTAGCAAGACAGCAAGGCATGGTGCAGGCAGAAAAAGGAGTGGGTGATCCACACTTAACTAGAGAAGGCATATTGCTATGAAAAACCAATCATTTTGTTTCTCTTCTAAGCCTAGGCTCTCTAGAAAGAATATGCGTATTTAATAAACTGTAGTAAAAACTAATATCAGTGCTATAACAACAACAAACAACAAATTTATTTTTGTATAGCGCATTATCACAACATTACATTGTCCCAAAGCGCTTTACAGCATCCCCACCCAAAGCCCCCAGTGAGTAAGCCATAGGCGACATAGGCTATACCATCTTCAGTCGTGGCATCCTCAAATCTGTAGTCTGCAAAAGGCCTTGAGTGAGGCCCCAGTGCTGCCCCCACTGACCTGTCCCTGCCCTTTATATTAGACACTGATGCCAGTGGTGTAGATGCTGGGGGGGTGCTCTTCCAAGGGGGTTAAATGGAGAGGAGGGCATCGTACACTACAGCCGTGTTCAAGTGGGTCTACAGGGTGCAGTACAGGAAGGACGTTGGCAACTTCTGCCACTGCATGCGTATGCCACTGCACTACTTCATTAATCAACCTTGTTGGGATTACAATATATTACAGTGTCAGAATGTATTCTGAATAAGGTACATTTCGAGTATCCTGCCAGAATACAATACTGAATACATTCAGGACTGTGTATTCAGCATTCAGACACTACATGCTTATTCATACTATTCTGCCCAAACCTGCATGACCCTCACACTTACACAGAGGAGTAACAAGACAGTGTCATAAACTCATTTTTCACCGTGAACACAGACGTGTTTTTTATCCATCTGTCGCCCTGTTGTCCAGACCCACACATAAGTCAAATTTAATGGGATTGGACCAACCAGGGTTCAGTCTCACACACACACAACCAGGAATCAAACCCTCAGTGTGAAGCTACAGTACTGCCCACTGTGTCACAACACCTCTGAGATTCAGCAGAGGGCGCTCACAGTCTCTCCTCCCTGCACCACTAAGAGCTCGCCAGACCAGTTCCACCAGTTCCTATAAGTGCACCAGCCTCTAGTTCCCTCCTTTCCCCTCTGCCTGTTTAAGCCCCAGCTCCCCAGCAGTCCTCATCTGGACCTTGAACCACTGGCCTGTGTTTCCCTACCTGTGCTAGTCCTTGCTCTCTCTGTTTGCACCTGGTTCTGCTGTGTCCCAGTTGCCCTGTCCCTGCTGTTCCTGTCCCATACCCAGATTTTACCCTTATTAAACCCTGTTCTCATCCTTCCTCACCTCTGTATCGCTGCCTCCTTTTCTGCCCCCCCTTACACCCGGTCGTGACACGCTGAGCCTCCACACAGCAGACGTTATTAAATGTATTACAAACACCCACTTCCATTTACACACATAATAAGTATGAAAATGCAGGGAAACTCACCTAATTTAAATGTGTTGCTAATCCAGGTAAAAAGTTGGGAATAAATAATAAGGAACAGCATGTTAAACAGTTTGTGATTATCTGTAAGGCAAACAGAGCAAATCAGACACCCTCATTCTCTCATCAGTCTATACAGGTATAACATGATATTAAATAACAAAGTGTCCTTGGGCTTTTCTTCCCCTGAGATGGCCCCGCGAGTCAGAGGGTCCCTCGAAACCCTGTGGCGTGATAAAGGTGAGGCCTGTGTGAGCAAATAAATCCACAAAGATATACAGTACTTACACATGAAATCAAACATGATTACTAGAATGCCTCTAAGTTGTACTCCTCTTCGCATCCTTCGGAGGTGTATTATCCAAAACACACCTAGTACAAATGAAATAAAGCAAAGAAGAGTTTCAGTCATCAGACACAAAGAAAAAAAACAGATGTGTTCAGAGGTCATGTGTTGAAAACCCTGCATAGCACTGTCACCTGGTGGTTGTGGGTTTGAATCCTGTATTGGGCACTGAGGGGCCAAGCCCTTTTTCAAATGTGTTTGAAAAATGCAATTATTTATACATAATTGCCTTTGATAAATGTGTTTGAGGTTGACCAGTTTCATCTTCTGGTTAAATTATACTGGTTTTATTTTTCTTTTGTATTTGGTATTGTTTTCTATGTCTTGGCTTTGTTTTCCTGTTTTTTGTTCTTCCCTGCCAGTGCCCTGTTTAATTTAGGTCTACTCATAGTTATGTCTTATTCTTTTTCTAGTGTGGTTAGCCCTCTGTCTTTGTTAATGTTCCCCCATTCCTGGGAGGTATTTTCCGTACGTCGCTTATATCATCCAAGATCATACGCCTCATCTTTGATGAGTTAATGCTGGTGAAACATGTACATGTTTCTACAACTTTCTTTTTTCTACAACCTTCCTGTACTGCACCCTGTAGACCCACTTGAACACGGCTGTAGTGTACGATGCCCTCCTCTCCATTTAACCCCCTTGGAAGAGCACCCCCCCAGCATCTACACCACTGGCATCAGTGTCTAATATAAAGGGCAACTTTCTTTTTTTTCCTCTGAAAATCATACGTTATATCGAAGTTTACGCTGTAAAGGTGTACGTTCTAAGCGATACCGGCAAATGGAATAATGCATTACACGAATTCGGGACATTGAAATTTGAACGTTGTATTGGTGTAAACATTATAAACGGGGTACGTTGAACCGAGGTTCGACTGTAGTACCATTAAAATCTTAATGATAACCAGCTCAGACTAAACCTGGGTTGTAGCATAAGCATCAAACCCTTATTCAAACCTGTGTGAAAATTTATTGCAATTATTTATACACAATTGCATTTGAGAAATATGCTTCGGAAGATAGTTGGCTACTATCAGCTAAAGTTAGTCATCCCTCTACCTGGATGCTTAGCCTTCTCGCTTTCTACCTAGTCGTGACCTGTAATAGCATAGCATCCTATTTAACATTACTGAAAGAGAGCTCTGTGAGTATCATAACAGTGAGCTGAAAGCTTTTACCAGCCCTATCACAGGTTATAGTTATACTGAATTACATTCGTTATCTCCAGGTCAAGATGCAGAGGAAAAATTTCAGCATTGTTTAAAAAAATGACAGAAAGCCCAAGTCCTGTCAAATTATAGAAACTATTCTACTTGTGAACCACAGAATTTTGGTTTGCATAAAAGTACATCCCAGTTTTTAAAAAGATTTATGGTTATGAAAGGTTGCCAACAATGTAGCAACTAAATACCTCTATACCTAATTCTGCTCCAGTGTTCCTGAGGTTGTAAAACAAATTTAAAATAAATATATTAACCTGAAAACATACTTACCTGGGAATAAAATCATGAATATCGGAAACACTAACAAAATGAAAAATGTTCCAAGTTGTTCTTTCCAAGCTGCAGTTGAGGATTTTGCCAGAAAAACACTGACAGCAACTAAAATAATGTAAGAATAGAGTCAGTCACCATGGAATTCATGTCAGACAGAGTACAAACACATATGTGTTCACCGGTCCTGCACAGGTCTGTCACCTGGGGGTTCTGTGTTTGAATCCCTTATTGAACATTCTGGTATGAAAAGCACATCCCACAGTGTTTGGGTTGGCCATTTGATCATGCATCCCTAAATGTACATATTATTGTGAAAACACATTTTAACAATCTATGGTGTACATTTCTGCACTGAAAAAAGAAAATTGTTGAACCAACTTAAAAAAATTGCACTGAGAAAAAAAGAATTGTTGGATCAAATTTAAAAAATTGCTTCAATTGGTAACACACAAATGAATAAAGTTTTTTCAAATCAAGTTACCAAAAAAGCCTTCTTGAAATCATACTATAGGTTGTTATGGTGCAGTATTTTACTTTTCTATAAAGCAAATAACTGTGTTGTAAAAACTGTAAACTTTAAGTTGACTTGTCTAAAATTTCAGTTGCATTAAGAAAAACTATTGATTTGAATGTAATCAGATTATTCAGTACACCTAACTTAATGCAAATGGGTTCATTTAACTTGTTAATTCGATTTGAAAAAACTTAATTCATTTGTGTGTTACAAATTGAAGCAATTTTTTTAAGTTGGTCCAACAATTCTCTTTTTTCAGTGTGAAATCCCAGTGGTGGAAAAAAAAAACATATACATTTTCCATCCATCCATCTATCCTTCCATCTATAACCCCTTCTCAAGTACAGTTCCAGGGTAAGACTATCCCTAAAAAGCCCAGAGCAGGGTACACCCTGGTGGGGTGCCAGTCCATCACAGGGCACATCCACTCACACACAAATGACCGTTTTAGACCCCATTTCACCTAAATGCTTGTTTTGTGGGGGGGGGGGGGGGGGAGCAGAGCACCTGCAGGCAGAGGCGTCATGCTGATAGAGACTGAAGGAGCTCGGGGCCCCTCAGGGTTTTAGATTTAGGCTCCAGATTGTTTACCCTGTTTCACACTGTAGAGCAGGATTCATGCCACCTTGAAGTGCAAATACAACTTCGGCATGCACGGGAAAACAATCGATGTCACATATTGTTTTACAGTGTGCAGCAGGCAAAAACCGTGCCATGTGGAAATGCATTTTAGTTGACTACCATCCAGAAAAACAATTAGAAAATTTGCATTACACACAATTTAATGAAGATATCCAAATCACACCAAAATGTATTGGCCTTCCTTGCTCTGCTGCATCGGCTCATTTTTGAAAAGTACATGCTGAAGTCCAATAACTGTCCAATCACAGCTTTTTAGCAAGCAGGTGACGTGCTCGTGGAAACCAGGCTGGGACAATCACTTAAGATCTAACAGATGAGGTGACAGCCACTATACGACAGGCTACGGCCACAACCACTACAACCCAGAAGGGCCCAGCTGCCTCATTTCAGAATGTCTATTATAGAAATAATAAGGCAAGAAATATCCTCCCTGCTCCAGCAGGTAGAAACTGATGCTGTGAGCGAGTATTTTGTCATTTATAAAGTAGAGTGACTCCTGGAACACTTGCAAAAAGTGGGATGAAAATGAGCTTCCCCTTTATTTATGAGTATCTGTCACAACAGAGCCACACAGACTAGACTTAAAACAAAGGAAAGACAAAAACAGCAAAGATACATAGCTGTCCTTGGTTTAGCAGATATAACCAGGACTTTAGCATAGCTGAGACTTTAGAGAAATCACAGCCTTGGTCAGCAGATATGATGACACTGCATACACACCTGGACCTGGAAAAAAAGAAGCAAAATGTGTCCTCATTGCCTCTCTGCAAGTAGCCAGCATCAGACAACTTTGTGTGATGAATGAGGTCAAGATACAGATTTTTATTTGTCACATGCATGAATGTCCTGCTACGCCAGCAGTGAGATGAATTTCCATGACTCTAGACTGTGCATCAAATAAGGTTAAAGGATATTAGTGAGGAAATGAAGAAAACCAAGTACAGTGGTGCCTTGACTTACGAGTTTAATTCGTTCCGTGACGGAGCTCGTAACTCAAATTACTCATATGTCAAATCAATTTTCCCCATTGAAATTAATTGAAATGCCATTAATCAGTTCTGGACCCCCAAAAAAACAGTTTTTTTGTGTTACATGTCTTTAAATAAGAAAAATGTGCTTAAATAATGAGTATTGTATAAAATCACAATACAATACAATATACTGCATTAAATTGGTTTTATCAAGTATAATGTACAGCATTTGCCTTGGAGATCAGATGACTTGAAGATGTTGACAAATGTGGAGGAGAAACTGAATAACTGAATTTTATTCGCTGATTTTTGCCTGTTTCGCCACGCTTTCCTCACTTTCATCTGCAGGGGTTTTCGATTAAAACCTGTCCACTGCAAGCTAACTGCTTAAAGTGAATGAGTGAGACACGGGATGCTGGGCGGATGTTGCACCGTTCACTGCGCCAACTACCGGTGGTGTATCTGAAGCTGGCTGGTAACCCAAATTTTAGCTCTCAACTCAAAGCAGAAAATCAGCCAAGAGACGGCTTATATCTCGAAAAACTCCTTAGTTGGGACACTCTTAAGTCAAGGTACCATTGTATCTCTTTGTGTGCCTTGAAGCCTAGTTCATACTCCACTTTTCCTTGTGCTGTTACGGTTGTGTACATGCTACATTTGTCTGTGGATGCGGACTGTCATGGTCGGCACATACATACTGCAATGATAATCTCCCAGACCAGTAGGTAGCAGATGTATTGCAACAAACACAAATATAAGCAGTGAAATGAAATGGGCAAACTTCTATGCACAGTTTTGGCTGGTATTACAGTAATACAGTAAACCGGGGAATTTTGAAATCATGGAGACAAGATTACTCGAGACCCCCTCCCCCCTCCCAGTGAAATTCATTGCCAAGTTCTGAAAATTCCAGAATCGTGTTGTTTTTGAGAACACTGTATACTGCAGTATAATGTCTAGATGGTTTGAAAAATTAGATATGACCCAAGCCTAGATGTTACTTAAATAACTGTAATGTTCGAAAATGAATAATAACGAAATTGTTGATAGAAATGCAGAAAAACACATATGCAATGTTCTTGTGGCGCAGGATACCAAACAATATATTTCCATCTCAGCCAGCAGTGTTTGGATGATCTGCTTGTACAAAGTCTTGCACCAGAATACGACTCTGTGCTCCTTCAATGATGAGTTATGTGCCTGTGGGTAACTTCACTTCCCCACACAGCTATTTATCGAAAGTGTCTGTAACTACAACTACACCAATTATTCTTCTTTTCCTTCTACCTCATACTGGAAGCACCCAGTGAATTTCATTTCACATGTGCAACTGACACGCAATGGTGCACAAAATGTCTGCTGGACACCCCTCATGACGAAATTTACATCACTTTCACTTTGCGCGGACAGTAAGTATGAATTGGCCCTTACAAACAGGATCAGCTACCTAATTTTTAATATGATAACAATGGCAAAGATTGAAGAGTGTTTTCTTGATTTAGTGCATGTAAAGGACACAACTGGTGCTGGTCTTGCCAAATGTTTTAGCCAGACATAAACTTTGGCCTGTATACCAACAATATAAGAGGCAGGGCTACACTGGCTGTGCTGCTCTGTCAGCCATTTACAGACATGTGCAAGCTGTCATAAAGGACAACAATGAGAAGGCCTGTTTAGTGCTTTGCTTTGCCCAGAGATTGATCCTTGTTGTTGTGGACATGTGCTTCAGCTTCACGCAATTCCTTTGGTGTTTCTACCATGAGAGGCTCTGTGAAGCAACATAGCCTTGTTGTTGAGGTTCAACAAATAGTGAGAGAGTCAGGGACAGGGAAATACAAAACCCTGCATGTTCTTAATGTGACAAGATGGTCTTCCAGGATTAGTAATTGCAATGTTCTTGTGACCATCGTTCCTGTAGTGCAGGGGTATTCAACAAAAATTTTAAGAGGTCCAGTTAGACAAAAATTCTTGAAGCAAAGGTCCGGAAGATTATAATGTCTAACTATTTAATAGTGTGATATATATTTAAGTAGCCTATTAGTTGCATCAACATTGTATGTAATCAGTACCTGACTGTCAAATCAAATTAATTCAGTATAATTCAAAAACGTTTTGACATTATTTATTGTCACGTGACATAGAACTTCGGCCAGCTGGCTAGCGTGAGTGTCACGCCAGATACTTGAGATTTGGCAACCCTGAAAACGTACATTTTTTGTTTCACATGAGTTTATTTATATAACAGATAACATTACTTTATACATATGTTAAAATGCAGAAACTTCAACGAACATGAAATCAACAATAATCACGTCTATTTATCCAACGTATTATATAATACATATTGTAGGCTACTTGAAAACTTTTCAGCTTTACGATTTCAGGAGAGTGCAGCCACTCTGTTAGGAACATTACGCTTTTTGTTTGCGGGTGTTAGCTTCGCTGCTGCTATTAACACGAAAGGCACATTAGCGCAGACAAAGGGCTGCATACGCCAAACTATACGTCTTGCTTGGCGGTCAAAGGCATTTGACGTTCATTAGCGTGGGAAACGGCGGTTCTACTGCTAAACCACTACCGAAAAATCTACAAACGCTGCGCCGGTTAAAATAAAAGCGCCCCATCAGGTTTTAAATAATGACTAAATGTTTTGGCTATTGGTCCGGGTCCGTATGGAACAGCTTCTGGGTCCGAACCCGGACCGCGGTCCGCCTGTTAGTGACCGCTGCTGTAGTGGTTACCATCTATTGGATCCAGACAAGGAATTGTTTTGATTGTGACTCCTTGGGTACAGCATTAGCCTTAAGCAAGGCCACTGATTGAGGTTTGGATGCAGCAGGTGTCTTTGAACAGAATCTTTATAGTGACTGGTGTCCTATCAAAACATCTCCAATGAGAAGATATGGATATCGGCACAGCTGTAGGACTGGTGTGTGACTGCAGATTGGAGCTCTCAGCTACGGACTGAGGAGATGTTTCAGGAATTATAGAAGGAAGCCAACACTATAGCCTCAAAGATCAATGGTCATTGGGAAGTGAAAAGGAGTATAAAAGTATTAAGGAAACAAGACAAAACCTGGCAGAATCAGACCAAGGTTACTCACAAAGATGAGTTAAGAGTTAACTTTTTCTTTGCAGTAATTGACATCAGCATACAGGGCATTACAGACACGTTCAGTCATGACACTTTGCAGCTTCTGAGATGGACAGACTGCCTCACAAACCCCAGAAGGGAGAAAATACCCCAACCGCTTCAGATGTGTGGATATTACAGGGGGGTGTGTCCACCACCAAAGCAAGGGACAGAGTATAAGCTGTTCATTCATGAACTTCCTTACTGGGCGTTTATACATTTCTTGTGGAAAAGAACTTTCCACAAGCCTACCCTGACTTAGGCTCACTACACCTGCTCATTATCTCTTGCCAGTCACCTTATTTTTACAATAAGAGGTGTGTCAAGAACAGACAGAGGACATCCGTGAAACACAGCAGGATGGCTGAACTGATGTTAAGAGCAGCTGAGGCAGAGAGGACACAGTCAGCTGACCTGGGAAAAGTTAGGGATGCATTTTGGAGGGTTGATAACTGCTGTTATGGTCAGCAGCCTTTAGTAACAGTTAGTGGTGTAGTTATGGTGTACTTGTCAGAGAAAAGAAACAGATTAAAACCAAAATATGACCAAAATGGGACAGGACAGTAATATATTAATGTTTAATACAGTAGATTTAATCAGGAGATTGGAGAAAATGTCTGATGATACAGTATTTCACAGTTTGACTTAAAATCCTGTATCTTCAGCAGTTGAAAACCATAAACCACCACAGTCACCAAAGCTGTTGTCATGGAAACAGGGCAAGGTACAGGCAGGAAAAGGAAGGTGACACTCTACTTTGCAGCTCCAGAAAATAGAGGTTTATTACAGATAACTGAAAACACTGGGAACACTACAAACAAGACAAACCACTTCAAAACTAAACAGGGGAACGATATAACTAACTTAAAGCTGTATTCCATAAGACTGTAATGTTTACAAATTATGATTACAAATCACATTCAGGTCAGGTCAGGTTGGGGAGCATGCGTTGAAGCAGCGTGTTGCCACACCCACCACATGGCAAAACTCCTCAGGATCCCAGCCAGCAATCCCCCACACAGAAAATTTGCCAGTGTTACAGAGTGCAATGCCCCTCCTGGAGCCAACACCTTATCGTGGTGGAGGGGTTTGCGTGTTCCAATGATCCCAGGAGCTAAGTTGCCTGGGGCTTTATGCCCCTGGTAGGGTCACCCAAGGCAAACAGGTCCTGGGTGAGGAACCAGACGAAGTGCGGCTCAAAAGACCCCTCATGAAGAAAAACATAATGGATTCACG